CCGGAGAACAGGACTACTACCACCACAGCTGGACCCACGAAAGAGATACAGCGGCACATCAACATTGATCTGCTTGTCTGTGTGAAATATTTAGTTTTAATAGCTAGGTAACATAGCAACACAGTCAGTCACTACAACTCCCAGATTTTATTTTTTATTTTCTTCACTGGGCCGTTCACTCCACCTTGTCACTTTGTAGTCAGGACTGAACATCATTTCATTCAATAACGACTTGAAGAAAAAGAGATAATTTGCTCAGTTGCTAACAGTTTGTTCCAACATGTTCACACACTTTATTTAAAAGACACATTATTACCATTGACTCCTGTCTCAATACTGTCTACAAACCATTTCTCCTCTGTGAAGAAGTTCTTACTCAGGCAGTGGAGGCTAAATGGAAGTGAATGGTGAGCAGCTAAAAAGCTACGATAGCTTTCTTCCTTCTACATTATCATGAGCACAATGCTATTTGTCAGGGTGAAGTTCAGAGAAATGAAACCCTAGATGAAAAATTTGCATCAGTTTTGTCAATTCTATTGGAATTAATTGCTTTTCCACTAAATTTTGCCATTTTAAACGCTGGTGTGACCAGGCCTGGTTACCTGCTGAGTGATTACATGAATGAAAAGTAATGTCTCATCTAATCTTAGGCTACATCCAATATGTTTTAGTTGTGTTTACACTGGCATGTGCATGCCCAGTTTTCATGAATGGTCATGTGATATGCATTTTAAGGTGCGTTAGTATGGACGGAGATTATTTCTGATGAAGAGCTAAAAACGCTTGTCTGGATGGAGATCGATTTCATTTTAAAAATAAAACACACTAGTGTCGATGTAGCCTTAGCAAGCAAAGCTAACTAGCCTCCGCTTTACATGTAGCATAGCTGACAAACTTCACCTGTTGAAAAATAGAAAACATATCCTATCAATCATCATAGTCTATATTTTATCATATTTATCATAGTCATATCTATCACTTAGAGTTGGCAGAAATCCTGGTTTGGTGGAGAACTTTTGATTTAAGCCCCCGGCCGAGGTTTTCAGGGCTGAGAGAGAGAGAGAGAGAGAGAGAGAGAGAGAGAGAGGGAGGGAGCGGGAGAGGGAGAGGGAGTTCAGGACAAAAAAAGAAAAACACTCAAAAGATAAATACCCCATCTTTGTCTCCCGTTGCCTAGGTAACTGGACGATCATTAAGCTGTTATCCCGCCGGTCACCATGGAGTGTGGTTACCCTGACAATAAGTGCATGTATGGTGTGTGTGTTTGTGTCCATGTTCTCACCATCCATTTACTATGTCTGTCTGCAGTACGTAAGATGCTTAGGCTGCTTGTGTGTGTGTGTGTGTGTGTGTTTTGCTGTCATAGGCTACTTTTGGGGACATTTTTTTTTTTAAAAGTGTTAGGCATGTAGTGTTCATGGTTATGGTAAGTCTGTGCAATGTCTCCAAAAGTGACCTGTGAAGAACATGTTGGTGTGTGTGTGTTTGTGTAATGAAGGTCACGGGTTTGCTGTCATCTCTTCTGTCTCCATTAGAGTCCTGCTAAAAAGAAATATGTCTTTCCTTCCTTCCTTCCTTCCTCTCCTCCTCTTCCTCCTCCTCCCTCCTCCAATTAGTCTTTATCACAACGCTGCCTCCCTGTGGCTACACCTGCTCACTGCAACTGCAAACTTCAAGTCCCATTTTCTCCGAAATGGTTAGTTTCACAGAAAGCCTTTGAATCAAAGATGATTTAAAAAAAAAAAAACCTCATGTCTCAGCAGGTATTTTATTTACTTGTTTTTTTTAAATAAATCTTACTGAAAGGGCAAAACACCTGCTGTGATATCATTGATTATGGTGTTCACAAGAAATGAAACATACATATTTGCAGCACAGAGGGCAGAACAGCAGCTGTTTTTCATCCTGGTTAATAAAATGCTCCGTGTAAGAAAACTGTGGTAAGATAATACATTTAGAAAATGATTGTTTTAAAGTCTTGTGACGTTTACAGCGTATGTTTGGCATCTCAGTTGTTTAGGATTATTACTTGAATTTAAATAAAATACCATTCTGCTGTTTAACGCCTGGAATACTTGATAAGCACAATTGGTGTTTTTAATTAGAATAACACTCAAAAACTTAGCTAATCTGCTCCATCCAGCTGTGTGGGTTTGATTTGATCAGAGCTGATTGACTGTGCTGGTGACATTAGTAAACACAACTGTCATCGCCTTTTGATTCACATATTGCTAAACTCTGATTGGTGCAGTTCATGTTTGACCCCGCAGCTGAAGACACAGATTGAAGAAGTAAGTTTATAGGGTCTCTAAAGCATATTTTCTCCAAACTAGAAATTACCATTAGTATTGCTATTACTATTATACAATTTACATCAATCCTAAAAGTGACAATAAGCTAAAAATGAAACTTGCCACATAAAAGCTAGAGATAGGTTCAGGTGGACTTACAGTATAGTCAAGGCGAGACACAATAAAAGCATGAATAACTTCTTTCCAAATCTTCAGGAAGCTGATAAAAGTGTTGACTTTTAGCAATATCCTTTAGTTGGAAAATTCAGGACGAAACAAGTAGAAACTCATCAAGCTCAAAATTTATTTTGGGATCAAAAGAAGTCCAAAAGGAAGTTTCAACTTCTGTAAACAGGTTTGCAGCAAATATCACATCAGGTAAAGATTTGAATAGTGTCAATGCAGATGAACATCTGAAAGTAGTGGTACTGAAAGGGAATTAATTGATTGAACATTTAACATTGATATTGTTGTTGATTAAACCAAAATGTTCTTCTGTAAGTGTAAAAACTTTAAGTGGGGTAAAGGGTATGTTTAATTAAAGGTTAATTTTATGGGTATGTGTTATGAGTGCAGAGAAAATGGAGCTTATCAGTCTCTGGTGGAGTTTCCTCTTGGACAGGAAGTGGGCTTCCTCTGTTTCCTGTTCTCTCTTCATGTGTGTGTGTGTGTGTGTGTGTGTGTGGCCCCAGGAGAGGTCTAAAAAGAACAATCAGTGTAGAAAGAGAGAGAACAAGAATGAAGAAGCCGAGTTAGAAGCTAAAATAACTTGAACAGATTGAGACAGGGACACAGAGGGAACCATGGAAAAAACAACTGAGAGACACACACAAAGACAACAAAGGATAAACTGAAACAAAAAATATATTCAGGAAAGCGTGTGGCCAGGACCAGGACTCATCTGACCCACTACAGGACCATAGGTGGACTGAGCCGCGATGGACTATGAACCAAAGAAATCCAAGAAGGTACAGTAGCTTCTGGTCTGTCTCTTAATTTCCTCATTTTATTTTGTTCAGGTAATTTGGATGTGGATGATCAGCTGTTCTCCAGAGCAAATTTGGTCACATTTCATTGTCCATCATCCAAAGTTGAGTTCAAGTTAGGTAAACTCTCAAGAAGCAAATGTACACTATTGACCAAAAGCAAACTGTCTCTTGACAGTACTGACCTTTGAGGGGATGGAGAGCCAGAGTGTCCAACATGGATGAGACTATCGTAGCTTATTAGCCGTGTTGCATAATCCAGTTTTATTTGATCTCCTTTGTTGGAGTATAAACTGCTCCACAGCAGAGGAGACAGGAGTCAATGGCACAAAATACTTCTTTTGAACAAATGGTGTGAACTTTACAGAATCCGAGAAAGGCCGTACTCGCAAATATTTTTTTTTATCTTGTCATGAGATAATGATATATTATCAGGAGAAAATTTTGACTGAACCTCATACACAAAGTCACGAGTAACATTCAGCAATCCTTAGTAACTCCTTAGCTGACAAGAACTGATGGAAAGAGCAGGCCTTTCAACATTTGTGCCTAAGAAAACCAACCAAAAATACCTGCTGATTTATTTTCATGATTTGATTGTTCGCATCTTATAGACAGCTGGCTTCCTATTTTTAGTTTAGTTTAGTTAGACATAAAACAGCATAAGAAAAGAAAAAATATTTCTTAAAAAGGGACAGAAAAGAAATTAATTACCTCCATAACACCTTGATCTGACCTGGGCAGGTTGTTACATTAAGCACATTCATTGCAAAATCCAATTATTTCCATCAATCTGTCGCCTCAAAGAAACACTGGAACTAGAAGAGGAACAAAACTCATTATAACCATCCTCTGTCTTTGTCCTCACAATTAAATTCAGCTGACTACAGAGATGTTCATCAGAAGTCAGCCTCATTCTGATACATAGAGATCCGTCCTTGTTATTATTCTGAAAGAAAGACAAGCCAGGTTTCTGACACTTAAACAAGCTAATTCCTTCTCTCTATTCAGCGTGTGCACACGTAATGTCCATTCTCCCTATGCCCTCGAGCCAGAGTATATTAATGTGCGTTTGTGTGTGTGTCAGTGGGTGTCTAACAGTGTGTGCTGTGTTGTCAGTGAGTCTCAGTAGGGAGCTGTCAGAGATCACTGCTCACTTGTCAATCACTGCTGGAACAGCCAAAGGGATGTACTGCATTAACACACATACACATGCACAAATATACTGAGGCATGTATGAACACAAAAATTAGCTTTCCTCTATGAATTCTAGTTCAAATTCAAACCCAGAACACCACCCGACTGCCAGAATGCTAAAGTGATCGACAAAATAAACAACATGCTGATGATTTTGTCATTCTTAGAGCATTACAAGTAGTGGAGCACAAAAACTTCCACTTCAGGTACGCCAGAGGAAATGTAATGAAACCATTAAAATCAAAAGGGTTCATCCTCTGGAGATCAAGAATGTGCAAAAAAAAACAAAAAAACATTACTGTCACTGAGATGTTTATCTTGAGTGCAAAGTTTGGCCTGATGATGATGCAAGAGAAACTATTAACCACCAAAACCATTATGATTCATCCTCTCAGGACTGTGAATACTGATACTGATCCAGAGGAAATTTTTGAGGCAATCGTGATACATTAATATATAGTATCTTGCTTTTAACCAAAGAATTAGTTCAACGGGTGGGCTATCTGAAAATCTAGTGCAGGTATAATAAAACAAAGCTAAGAGTCTTTGATGCTGACCTTAGCCACAGCATTGCTTTGAGCCACAGGCTAATGTCAGCATGCTAAAATGCCCACATTGGAAATGCTAACATTCTGGTGTTTCATATAATATTTTACATGTTCAACATCTTAGTTTACCTTCTTAGTATAATAACACTCACTAATTAGCACTGAACACAAAGTACAGCTGCAGCTGAGAGGACTGTCATTAGTTTTGAAGGTATTTGCTTATAAAACAAAATACTGAACAATGTGAAATTTAGACCTGATGATAACACTAGACAAAAAGTCAGAGAATCACCAGTCATTAAAATGCTTCCTGATGGGGACATGAATATCTGACAAAATGACCAGGCAATCAATTCAATAGCTGTCAAGACATTTCAGTCTCCCTCACACATAATTTCTCTCTTCTTTTGTTTATCTCTTTGTCTCTCTCTCCGCAGGGTTTTGTCTCCCCCATTAAGAGGCTGGTCTGGTCCAAATCTGGTCGAAGGCCAGTAGATCGAGGCAGCATTTACCGCCGCCCACTGCACACTGTACCCCTCTACCCCCCCGACTACATCATCCACCCTGAGAGGCTCATCTTCGACTATGTAGAGAAGGAGGTCAAGGTAGAACTTGACAATTTAATATGATATACTTGTGTCATCATTAACCAACCTCATGAGCACTTTTCAAGTTGCTTGACCTTTGACCTCTCTTCTTAGTTCCTTGGTCACCTGACCTGGGTGTCGGTTTCACTGAATCCCTCCAGCCGAGATGAACTGCTACAACTACTGGATACAGCCAGGGTTAGTAATACTAAATACTTAATACTCATTACTCATAATTTATCCATAACTAATCACTGCTAAGGTTTGTCATCAATAATGTATCTATAATGAAGCACTCTTGAGGTTAGTGATGTACAACCAATCTAGAACTAAAACCACCCTGGGTTTGTAATCCATATATTACTAAAAATCATTTTTGGGGTTTCTATCAATAATCTATAAATAATCCAAAACAGATTTAATGATAAATATCTAATTTATAACTAGTAATCAGTAACATATTTAAAGGTAATAACTGAGATCAATTATCTATACTCAATCACTGTTGTAATTAGTAATTAATAAGATATCTCTGGTATAACTAATCATTGTTGGGTTTAGTAATCAATAACCTGTTTATAACTAATAACATTTGCCATCTGTAGTCAGAAACAAATCTATAACTAATAACTGTTGCTGTCAGTAAACAATATCCAATTTAAGCCAAATCTTCTGAGACTTATATGGTGATCAATAATCTGTACATACATATCTGTACGTAACTCATCAAAAGCAAAGTTAGGAATCACCATATTATTATAACTAAATGATCAATAAATATAATTTGATGCTAAGGTTAGTGAATAAGCATTGCAATCAAGTCAAAAGGAAGACTCATCAATAATCATTTATTCTTTAATGAGTGTCAGTCTTCTTTATTTTGTGTGACTCATTGATCAATAACCTATAATCAGTCTCCCTGTGTGTTTGTCAGTAGCAGCTGAAGGTACTGCCGTTAAAGACCAGCATGGATCAGGACTGTATCCTGAGTCTGTCTGCTCGCTGTCTGCTGCTGACGTGGAGGGACAATGAGAAGCTGCTAATGAGGATTCCCACACACGAGATCGCTGCTGCCTCCTACCTGAGAGACGACGCACTGCACCTGCTGATCCTCAAGACAGGTGAGCACACACCTGGTCACAAGACCCTGTCAGTCACTGAATGACTGACAGCAGGAAATAAAAATGAATGATGGCAGTTTTTTAAAATAAAAGTTTTTCTTCTCAGTTTTGATGCCACCAAGTTTCAGTATATCCAGGGACCTCAAAGGACCAATAAAACTAATGTACAGTGCTGGTCTGCTAGTGTCTAAATCTACAACCATGCTTATGCTGGCAGGTTACTACTGGCTGTGTGAGCTATCACAATGTTATGTTAAAGATCACCACAAAGTGTGGGCTCAACTTTCACATTTACAATTGAAAACTGTAATACATGGAATGATCATTTAAAATGATATTTCTCGTCTTTTTTTCTCATGTGCCTTCTTCATGATCCAGCATCCAAGCTGAACGGAGCTGTTGGAAATCCTTTGTTTGGCCACAAAGAATTATGGGATTTTGTGTGTGCTGTTTTTATAGTGGTCCTTCAAGAAATTGTAATATTGCAAGTAGTACTTACACTTTAAAGGAATAGTTTGACATTTTGGGAAATAATGTACTGGCGCTGGAGCCAGAAGGCTATTAACCTAGCTTAGCGTAGACTGGAAACGGGGGAAACAGCAAGTCTGGCTCTGTAGGAAGGCACATAAATAGGCCATCAGCTAATTAATAGGTTATATCTTGTTTGTTTAATCAGCTAAGCTAACCAGCTACTGCAATTTAGCATATTTTTTAAAACCCTCAGGTCTGAACGTGGACACCGTGGTTGCCGGGGACGACAGCCTAGACAGGAAAAAGCCAACAGGCATCGATGGGCGACGTCAAACCATGAGCTGCAACGCCGACCCGCGACCCGCAGGGGGCACAATGGAGCGGCGACACACCATCTGTGGCGTCGATTGGAGGCCATCACTGTCCAGGAGTAACCACGACAAAAACCAGAACGTGGAGAGAGGAGGAGGTGGAAGTGGTGGAGGGGGAGAGAGAGGAGGAGGAGGGAGTTTAGAGAGGAAGAGAGTGGGAGGGAGCTGGGAGAGGAGGCAGCAAACACGTAAAACAGGAGGGAGCTGGGAGAATCGCAGAGCAAGGCCCATGAGCGGGAGCTGGGGGGTGGGAGTAGGAGGAGGCGGTGGAGGGAGCTGGGAGAGGAGGCATGGAGGAGGGGGAGGAGGTGGTGGAGGAGGGGGGAGCTGGGAGAGGAGAGGAGGAGGTGGTGGAGGAGGAGGAGGAGGCAGCGGTGGGAGCTGGGAGCGGCGGCAAGCCTGCACAGGGAGCTGGGAACGGGGTAAGAGCTACGGCAGCTGGGAGAGGAGGAACCACAACCCGCTGGAGCCCACGCCCTGCCCCGACGCCTACTGTAACCTGGTCATCCTGGCTGTAGAGAACAGGGTAGGTCTCCTCATCTGCTGGAAGTTACTTCACAAGCTCAAACCGAGGAATGACATTACTCATTTCGTTGATATATCCTCCCACGGTCCTAAAGTTTGGCTTTCTCATCTGCTTTCTGTCTGAGAGTTAGATGAGAATATTAATTACACTCTGACCTTTGTACGTTAACAGGTTGCAAGCCTAGTTTAGCACAAAGACTGGAAGCAGCTAGCTTAAATCAGTCATGGAAAGAAAGCGAATAAACAAAATAATAGGTACACTAATACTTGCACTAATATCTTGCTAGCCCTTTATTTGATCGGACAGTAGAGACAGGAAGTCCAAGTGGGAACTGGCTACTCGGCTATCTGGTCGCCCAATACACGTGGTCATAGATGTGGATGGGCAGCAGTTGCTAGTTAATAAGGTCAATTTGGTAGTGTTTTACCTGTTTTCATATGTTTATCGAGACAGGAAATAACCAGGAAGAAAACAGAAAAGCAGTAGAAGGGAAGAAATGATGAAAGTCTAAATTAGAAGTGCATTTTCACCAAAACTGGGACACTTAGTGTTCCGCAAAAGAATATTAATTTTCCATGACAGTTGCTCAAAAAAGACAGGTGATTACCCTATTTCAGACACACAGAAATGTTGGCCTGTTGGTGGTGCACCAAAGACCATAGGTCAAATTTATGAATAAATCGTACAATAATTGTTATAGAGTATTTCACTTTGGATCAGAGTGTTGGACAAAGTTGGCTCAAAGTTGATGACTTGTCACTGTGGACATTGAGTCCAGTCTGATATTCAGACTGAAGAAAGAAACAGTGACAGGAATTAAACGGTGAAAAGAGTTCTTTCATCATTTGGCATCGAATCATTTTGGAACTGGGGAAAGTAGGGCGATACTGATGATGCTCATTCATCTGCATACACACACACACACACACACACACATACATACTGAGACTGTGTTGTTGCATAACCTGAACCACTGCATCACATTTACAGGAGAGTAGCTTAGTCATTGGATTTGTGTGTGTGTGTGTGTGTGTGTGTGTGTGTGTGTGTGTGTGTGTGTGTGTGTGTGTGTGTGTGTGTAAACCTCAACCACAGAGCTATAATTTGTTTGGACTGGCAGCATTAGTGTGTCATTGTTCCACTGGCTCAGATGAAGCTCACAGACTCCGGTCATGTTTCATCACGACAACAGACTGCTGTCTGGGTTTTGCTTGGTTGCAGGTGCAAATCCTTACATTTATTATTGGGTATGTGCCCTTGACCTTGGTACTAACCAATGCAGCTGCAGTGAAGCAGCTCACACAGAACTTGCTCTGTACACTCAGCCAAAGTGAATTAAAGGGGAAAAATTAGGGTCACAACATTAAGAAAATTCAATGTGATAATAAAGGTAAAGTACTTTCTCTCATTGTTGGATGTCAGCATAGCTGTGATGTCAGAGAAGGTCACAGCTGTTATTGATGTGTTAACTAATTCAGCATGATGATTGACTCTGTACATGTGTGTGTGTGTGTGTGTGTGTGTGTGTGTGCAGGATGCTGCAGAGGAGTACTGCTCTCTGATCTGTCAGATGTTCCAGATCATTTACGGCCATCAGACCATTGAGTGTGTCGACAGGGCCGGGTTTCATCACACTATGCCTGACCGCTATTGGCTGCAGAGGAGTGAGTGACGCTTGGTTTCTCATTGTCACAAGTAGAGCAATATATGGGGGATTTTAAAAAATTACCTTTTATTTTCTTAAGTACTGTTGTAGAAATCTAGTGACAACCTTGTTACATATACTTTCTTTTGGTGATATTGGTTAAACTTTAGTGTAATTTGAAGCATTTCCAGCTGTTTGCGGTGCTGCTAGTTTAAAGGGGCTAATTTTGATGGGCAATTGAGTAACTTTAATAAGTT